GGAAGGACGGATATCGCTTGACCAATTAAAGCTTCTTACCTCATGTCAATCTCATTAAAGGTTGTCAACATTGCGCAGGTGTTCTGGGCTTCCTTCAGCCTTTGGGCGATTCTCAGTCTCATTCGGTTCATCTTCACCTGAATTCAGAAACAGAATTCTAAGTTTCGGCAGTCGTGTGTAATTCCAGTCTTGGCGAGAAAAATGTTCTCCCTGGATGATTTGCTTCTGTGGTTACCCTGCTTTCAGTGCGGGCTGCTTTCGCGCCTCCAACCACAGGAGCTGCCGGTGCGGTGGGCTTGATGGATGACACTGTGGAAAAAGGCACAAAGAAACAGTGAACATCACAAAGCTATCCAGCGCAGTTGCCCACAGAGCCAAAAAAAAAAAAAAAAGATTCATCAGGCATTCGAGTACCTCAATAGCACAAATGTCAGGAATTGTGAAGTAATTCTGATATAACTGCGCTAACCTGGTTTGGCATCCATAGCGTGTGTTGGCACAGGTGGCACGGGGGGCATCGTGGTTGGAATGGGTTCAAAAGCGGTGGAGGGAGGAGGCGGAGGGGCAGATGCAGGAGGAGGTGGGGGTGAAGGGGCAGCTGCCGCCGGGGCCTCCGCTTTTGGGGCCGCTGCAGCTTGAGGAGCTCCAGCTGAAAGGTCCAAGGTGAGCTGATGAGCTGGTTTTAGGTTAGCAACAGATGACGCGGTTGACGGACTAAAACATGTATTCATGATGCGAACGAGAGGAGCCAGCAGAAGCTGAAACGCGGGCGATATACGGTGTTTGACACAACCCTATCGCTCATTTCCATGACATGCGGCAAAATGAGGATCCGGTGCATTTTGCCATTACAGCATTATGTGATTGAAGAATTGATTGCTATGCAACTAAGAAGTGACAATAAATAGATTGCTGTTCTTTCAAATTATAAAGTACACACAGCCTTTTTGAAGCTTGAAGAGAGGCGTTCCTCCCTCGACTTTGCCGCCATCAGGAACCAAAAGCTCCACGATCACCCCTGCGGCGGGAGAAGGAACCTGCACGGATGTCTAGTGGAAAGAAGAACACATGAACATTATTATTCTTTTAATATTTGAAGGTAATTTCAAACCTTTATCTGGAAAACTATTCCCCATACTGCTAGGTCACCCACACAATTTTAAGACAGAGTACTGTTAAGTTTCTATCGTGCTGCACTTCTATTCACCACTGCATATGATGAAGGTGCTGGCTTAAGATTTCATTAAACCGTCACAAAGATAATCAATGGTCTTTATTTGTGTGCTTTTATTTGCTATCCGTGGTCTTTAGGGCATTCCCTTACCTTGTCAGTCTCAATTTCACACACCACCTCATCCTCTGAAACAGTGTCCCCCACGGCTGTAGGAAGACAAGTTTGTTTCACGATCAAAATGGTGGCGCCACACAACCCACGTGACAAGCGACTACTGAGCCTAGGACAAAATGAGTTACCTTTTTCCCACCTCACGTCCCCCTCTGTAACAGACTCCGCAAAGGCAGGGGTCTTAATGGTGAGGACTTCATCTCCTTAGCCACAAAGACAATATTAGATGTACAGTCCCAAATCCACTCCGAATTGTACAGTGTGCTTGTAGCTATGTATAAATATATATTTTTTTCAGTAGTTCAATTCAAAAAGGGAGACTCATACATTCAACAATAACTACATTTGAGAGAGAAAATTCCCCCCAAAATATTGTGTTAGTTTCTTAAGTAAAATTCTCTGAATTTGGTGTTTGCTTGTAGGATGATGGCCCATGCATTCATTTTCAATGGTGGGGGGAAGCATGAAAACTACACAGGAAGGCCGGAGCCCAGATTCGAACGCCTAACATCAAAAAATAAAATGTGAAAATATTTCACTTGATGTCGATAACCTATAAGAGATTCACTTTTTAAATTGAACAAAAGCAATAGTTTCTCATCATGCAGTACATACGGTGCCGTGAAAATCTATTTTCCACCTTCCCGATTTCTGTCTGAATAGCATATGTAACACACACAAACCAATTTTAATATCACACAGAGACAACCCAAGGAAATACAAAACGCAGTTTCATTATGCTGTGGTGTGACCTTAAACGGACAGTTCATGCTAGAGAACGCTCCAATACGGCAGAGTTGAAGCAATTCTGCGAAGAAGAGTGGACTAAAATTCCTCCACAGTGATGTGAAAGACTCATCACCAATTATCGCAAATGTTTGATTTCAGTTATTGCCGCCAAGGGTGGCAGAACCCATTATTAGGATCAGAGGGAAATTACTTTTCACAGAGGGACAGGTAGGTTTGGATTTTTCTTGTGCCTCAATAAAATAAATTGGCTTTCAGAAACTGCATTTTGTATTTCCTTGGGTAGTCTCTGTGTGACTTTAAAATTGGTTCGATGAACTGAAAACTCTGGATGGAATAAGTGTGCAAAGAACACAAATCAGGAAGAGGGAAAATACTATTTCGCAGCACTGTATGCATGTACACACAGGATACAGATACAGAATAGGATATGAGACATACTGTAGGCAACAGAGGTCCTGAAGTATTGGATTTGGAAGACACTGGAGCGTGGATCTGATTTTCTTCAGAAGAGAAAATAATATTAAAACTTGTATAAAATAAATTCAACAATTATTCATGCATGACATGACCTACTGCGGTACCAATAAAGATGTGAAATCTTCAAGTCAACCTTATTCCTGAAGGAGGCTTGGCTTTGTGTGTGACTTCTGGTGGGAACTGGCATTTTGTTTACATGGCAACTGTTCGCATGAGTGCACTACGGTTACAGACTTAAACAATGTGGGAATACAAGTTGTCAGGGATTAAAAGAGACAATACTACAACCGCTCTTCTTAGGGGGAAGAAAAAAAATGGCCAGCATTACTGATTACTGATTGTTAGTACAACCGTCAACAGTATAACAAGTTCCCAAGCTGTGCAAGGAATTATTTCAATGTTATGGCGGCTTATGATCGCTTAGAAAATGAAAACAAAAAAAAAACAATGCTCAAAACTGCTCCAGGAAATTAAAGCCACTCTAACCAATGGCTCAATGCTACTTCGGGTGTCTCCAAGGAAGTCGTGCCCACAAATGATTCCACATCAGAGCCCTCAGAAATAGGATAGGAGAAACTCTTCTGAAAAGAACTCCCCCCAAAAGCCACTAAAATCCTATGGCAGGAGCTCCAAACATTTGCTCCAACGCTTTAGGGACAACATGTTTTACCTTTCAAATCGTGTGGTTTTCAAAATGAGTGTACTCTTACATAGTGTTCTTGGCAGCAAAAGGGTAGCTAGTTGATATAGCTGCGAAGAAAAGGACAGTGAGACATCAATAATGCCAAAAGAGCAACAAAATCCATAAGCACAAGTGTGGACTTGACACATACCTGCTGCGCCTCTGCGAGTCAACACATTATTTCCCTATGCAAAGACAAATCACATTTGAAACAACACAATACATCTTTTTTCATGTAGCGCTTTCCCAAGCTGTAACGAAGCGCTTTACAAAACACTCCACATAAAATAACAATAATACAACACAGAAAACATCAACTTTTAGCAACTAAACTTGATTCTGGGATGAAGACATGTCGTTGACATCCGTGGCTACAGAAATATAAACACCCCAACAACAGTCAGGACTGGGAAGACAAGTCAGGTGAGCAGTTACGAAGCGTCACGCTGCCGGGAACAACATCAAGATAAAAGCATACCAAGGCATTGTTATCCATAAATTATCTTGTCATTTCACCCCTAGTGTATAATACACATATATTGTGTTTTGTAACAATATCTAACCAGATTCATAATTTCATATGCACCTGTGTATGAGATATCTCAAAGCCTGAAGTAATGATCCCCACGAGTGGCTGACACCTCACCAGGTCCATTCAGGTGAATGGGAGCGAGCCCCGTCTCTCAATATTTCCCTGTTTTGTCTTCATTGTCGCCCATGTCCTCATTCTCTAGCAATCTGTGTGTTTCCGTGACACACTGTCGTTTTGTGGGTTAAAAAATGTGATACAGGAGAACATATTGTATGGGGAGCCTCAAAAAGCGATTACAAGTTCTGATGGCTGACCAGCACATACGCAACAAACATTTGTAGCATAAAATGGAGATTCATTGTTAGAGTTACAGTACAATGTTAATTTTTTTTTTTATTGCTGACTTTGTTAATATTGATGACTGTCTGTACGTTGTGACTAAAAACGAGACTTTCCACATTCTTTTGGTTGAAAATACTTTGCCTTTCCTGATCGTAAGAGATATCTGTCACAAATGTCGAGATATGAAATTTGATCCATATCGCCCAACGAACTTCCCTGTAAATAGAGGAGCTCAGAAAATGGGGCAGACAAAATGTAATATTGTAAATTATTTCAATGATTAGTGTTGACAGTTGGGAGGTCGACCTACAAGGCAGTGGGAGTAAACGGCAGGAATAGCACCCTGGGTCAAAGGTAAAACGTTAGACGATGCTAACGCTGACACAATCAATCTTGCAGGAAAACAAGCACAGGATGTTTTACCAATGTGACCGGCAAAATTTTGTCCAAAGAATTAAGCAGCGAAAATACTTAACGAACTTAACATTCAGTAAACACACTCTATTCTATTCTGCCCGGTGCCCCCCCCCAACCCCTTTTCCCTGTCATTCACTTTCGGTTTTGGAACATTTCTATTCATCATGAAATACATTTATATTTTACGCTTCGTTTGTCAAGATAATAAGCAAGTTCAACCCAACCAACCGAATAACCTAAAAGTTAGGTGAGCTGATAATAGCATGTCACTGCTAGTTGGCGAGTAATGCAAAGTTGAACTTCAATCCCACCAAAACGTTTTACATATGAAGACCATTTCGGTCGATACAAGCAACATTCGTGCATAAAACGTATTACAAGTGCATCACGGAGAGCACTAAACACTTAAAAGGCAAGGTGTCATACTGTCCTTGGCTTACAATGTTACGGCCTCTTCCGTGGCCTACAGTGGCGGAGCTCATGCTAAAGCTAATGCTAGCGATGACAGAAGCGAAACCAACGCCCGCCAAAAGTGATTCTCACCGGGCGTAGCTCCTACTGTCGTACTTGTGCCTTTTGGCTTACCTGGCGGATCGCAGATAGGGAGCGACCAATATTCCTGGAGAGACACCGGGAACTGGACAACATGTTGGCCGTGTGACAGCTGCCTGTCAGCGGAAGGGAGCGGGTCAAACTGTGAGACTGGAAAGGAGGAAGTGCTGCGGGGCAAACCAAATGAACGGAACTAAGAGGGGTGTTTGAATTTTGTCAGAATGGTCTCTTCTGAAACGGACAACAGCAGCTACCTGTACTGTCACTGAGTGGCTACGAAACTGTGAATCCCACGCAAGTTCTGACAGGAAAAGCCCAGCTGAAATATGATTGGCCGCAGTCACGGAGCGCTGCAATATTGTTCAGAATAAAATACATGTGTGTTAATGTATTTTTTGGGTGTTTGAATTTTGTCAGAATGGTCTCTTCTGAAACGGACAACAGCAGCTACCTGTACTGTCACTGAGTGGCTACGAAACTGTGAATCCCACGCAAGTTCTGACAGGAAAAGCCCAGCTGAAATATGATTGGCCGCAGTCACGGAGCGCTGCAATATTGTTCAGAATAAAATACATGTGTGTTAATGTATTTTTTGATTTCACGAAGTAATTGGTTAATTAATTAAGCTTTTATATTTAAATAATTTTAAATAATGTTAAAATGGTGCAGGAATGATTATTTTATGAAGATAAACAGTTTTACAGAAAATGTAAACCTGTCAAAAAAGCATTTTTCCTGACAAATACTTGGTTAATGAATTACAGTATATTAACTACATTTTATAATACAGTAAAAAAAATAGTACGAATTATCATTTTACTATTTCGATCAAGTTACGTATTTTACAACAAATTACATCTTTTTTCTAACCCGATCTCCGAGTGATTTGGGCCAACATGTTCGTTTTACAAATCCAATGTGGCATGTAAGCACAGCAGTTTGCCCACTCCTGGGTTACACTCTTGTATTTTCCTTCATCATTTATTTATTTCCACTTATATGTTGACGCATCTTACGGAATTGAAAATATGGAGATGCACAGGTTTTCACAAGCATTGCGTGATGCTTGTTTGCAGGTCCAAGGAGCCAGCGCAGGCTGTCACTCAACTTTGCTCAAGAGTGATGCGTTCGTGGTCACGCCTCCGAGGGCACTACAATGCATCTGCTCTTGCGCTGCTCGCATCACAGAGTGCGGGAGGCCATCAGCCCGGCAACAGGTAAGGAGGATTCCTGTCACTTTAACGCACTCATTTTTCTGGTGTCCAAACCGTTCGTTCCATTGTCTTGTTGTTCTGTTTTAGAAGCTGTGATAACGTGATAGCTCAAACTTTTAACATTCTAAAAAGGTGTGCATTTCCGGTTGAAAAAAAAAAGGTTGAAATAGTCCCCCTCCCCATTAAAACATTTCTTAAATTGTAACTGGCGAAGGTTGACGGCACTTCCAGTCATTCAGTCACTTTTTTGAAAAACTGGAATTAGTAAAACAATCAAATCTTATTAGTCATTGTAATTTGAACTTTTGAATATGGAAATGTGTTCATCACCTTTGCTTTCTACAGTGTGCAGCATTGTACCTTTTTTAACTGAATTTAGGAACATAACAGTATCAGTATATTTTAATGTCTTTGTTTGTCTACACATCCAGATAGCATTACATATAAAAGAAGCGGGAATTTAAAAAAGGGTGCATGTCAAGTTGCAAATTTGACATAAACATTATCATGTAAGATACAATAACTAATCAAAACTGCAATTTTAAAGTTCCATCTACTCCAGTTGCGTTTTTTTTAAGAATGCGCATATGGTCCATGATTAATTTTGTGAAATATACAGTATGCACTTGAAATGAAAGCCAC